TTTAAGATACTTTATCATATATTTGGGTATTTTGTTGGTACTTGAACTTATGTATTGATGTAATTATCCTAAAAGAAAATATATTATACATATAAACTTGGTACTTTTATATCTTATACTTGATTGAGCATTTAGTGGCAGCCAGAAACCTAGCACTTTCTTGAGGCAAACTCTCTCTACCTTGACAGTGATGTTCTATAAGACCTCCAAAAATGTATTGACTTTGCACAATACGTATCTTAAGTTGGAAGGCAAATTTTCTATATAGGCGCCACATGGTTAAGTTGTTCCACAAGCTACCAACATGTATAGCATGTGATTAACTTGTTGACCAAGTTTTTAACCTATCAATCAAGTATAAATGCATGTAAAATCAAAGCAACATCTATGAAGCTTCTTGGAAGCTTATCTAGAAGATATTATGAAATTAATCTGCTTTTATCTACTTCTACCTATTCATATTACATAGATAACAATTACAATAAATATATGTCCATGACACATGATAAGGTCCGATAGGCAACAATAAAGATTTCTTCATTTTATCAAGAATCATGCTTTGCATCAATTTATCCGTCAAATTTTTAGCAGTTGACTTGTAATATCAATTGGAATGAAGAAGTTCTTACAAGCCAATTCTAATGGAGACTAAGAGATGATATGAAAGTTCTATTATTATCATTATTTGATCATTAAATATTCAATGAAGCTATTAACTAAGTTGTGAAGTACTATAATCAAATACTTCAATATCCTCTAGATTAATACTTGTGGACTTTGATAAAACAATGTACTAAAAATTTATACTTTGTTGCTTCAATAAATATATTACTTCTATATTTTAAAATTGAGGATATGCAAATTGATGTAATATTGTTCAAATCTCTTACAATAGACGAGAAGAAGCATTGATTTGAATAAGGCCTATACTTATAATGTGGTGAAGAAGATTACAAATCTAGAAACTATCTGGAGAAACAACATACAATCAAAACTAGAAGTGTGACAATTTAGGAAAGTAAAGAGGCCTAGCTACAATAAGGACCATGTGGCTAGATATTTTAATACCTCAAATTAATCAAGGTCCATCTTTTTGTATCCAACTTACTCATTGTTTTATAATATCTTTATCTTTTGGCTCAAAAAAACTTCAAAAAAATGCCTTATTAGATTCAAGAGCATCTACTTGCTCTTTAAATGAGGAGATTTTCAAATTTCATAAAATTCCTCAAGTATAGAAGTCAAAACATGTATATGTAGAAGTAATAGATGGTCAAACTTTATCTTTAGATAATATTATTCATGAAACCATATTACTAGAAATATTATTTGAGGGCTATAGTAAAAAAAATAATATTTAATATTATTAGAATTCTTTCCAATCATATCATTTTAGGACTTTGATGGTTTTAAAGATATAATCTATTTATGGATTGGAAGTTTCATTAGATTGAATTTTCTATAGGATTTCTTCAAGCAAAACTTATTAAAAAGTCATCAACAATAAAACCCTTATATTTTGAAATAAGGGCTTTTATAAAGATGGCTAAAAAAAATGCCACTTTTTATTTATGCAACTTTAGCTCATAAAGAAGCAAGCTTATTAGTAGCTATTTTAAAGCATTATAAAGAATTTTAAGATGTCTTCAAAAAGAAGAATGCTGACATATTGCTTAAACATCCATTGTATGATTATACCATCAATCTTCAAAAAGGACTCAACCACTATTTGGCCCAATTTACAACCTATCATAGAATAAGTTTTTAATGTTAAAAGATTATATCAATAAAAATCTTAAAAAGAAATTTATTCAAAATTCCAAATGTCTAGTAGGTACATAAATACTTTTTGTAAAGAAAAAAGACAAATCTTTGTGAATGTGTGCTGATTATCAAACCCTCAAGAAAATAAAAATTAAAAATTATTATCTATTATTTCTGATATTAGGGCTTTTGAAACAACTCAATTAAGCCAAGATCTACATTAAAATAAATCTTCATAGAGTATATACTTTGGTACAGATTAAAAAAGGAGATGAATGAAAAATAATATTTTGAATAAGGTACAAACCTTTTGAAAATAATGTCATGCCTTTTGGATTGAATATAACTATATTCATTTATGCTTTTTAGATCCAATAGCTAGATCCAATCCAAAAGGCATAAATGATTGAATGTGTCTTTGATGAATGGTATTTTTTAAAAATTCCTAAACAAGTTTGTTGATTATTATGAGATTCATAATAGAATGAAATCAATTATGAAATTCATAATAAATAAAAATCAATTATGAGATTTATAATAAAGAGATTCTTGTAATTTTAGATTCTTTTTAATAATTGCATCACTTGCTAGAAGGCATTACACATCTTCTGACCATATATATTGTATTATTTTGTATTAGCTTGGATTTTAAATTTTTTAAATTTTTTTTGAGATATGTCATTATCTTCTTTTAATTTTTTGATTACTCATCAACCAAAGAAGTAGCAAAGACTATGAGATGCTTTATCAAAAAGATCATATCTTGCTTCAAAGGTCAAAGAAGCAATATTTAATTAATAATATATGACTTTCTTGAAGTGAGAATAATTTTTTCTTTATACTACTTCTATGGTTATATCTATTGATTCAAGTTTTCATAAAGAAATTTGTACAGAATCAACTAAGATCGCATTAGTTTGTAATATCAATCAATGCCTTGATAACAATAAGTTCAAATTCTTATAAGATCTTTTGTATTATAAAGATTATTTATATATTCCGGAATGACCAATGTGACTTTGTATTCTTCAATCTCATCATGATTTCTCAACTATAAGACATTTTAGATTTAAAAAAATATTAGAGCTTATCTCTTGATATTTGTAGTGGTTTCAAATGTGAAAAATCATAAACAACTTTATTTTTTCATAAGACATTTATTCAAAATTTAAGAATTCTTGTCATCATCTTTATGAACTTACATAGGAACTAGCAAAAAATCTAGTTAATGTGCTACAAAAGATACATAAGTTTTGCTAATGCTATCTTTAAAAACCTAAACTTATTTTAGAATGAATTTTCTATGAAGCTACTGCTAGAATGTTGTATATGATGAAGAGAGTAGATATTACTCACATCAATCTTAGAATTTAGTGTATTTAGTTTATGATCTAATATATTGATTTGGAGAGTTTTTAGACAGTCTTTAGATCATGAATCTCAAAGTAGAACTAGAGTTGGAACTTTCTATATTACTACTACTAGATGAATTATTCTAGCTTTCACAACCTTTATAAGATTATCTTCAAGATGAAATTGGACCTTCTTGAGAAAAAAAGCACCCCTGCCACAATCAATTCAAATAAGAAAATCTTAAAGATGATGCTTGAGATTTGATCATTCTATTGCAGATATGAAACTGAAACCTCTTCTTAGAACTTAAAATTAGAAGAGAATGTGATGTTACAGATATCTAACAAGAAGATTTTAAAAATATTTTTAAAATATTTTATCAAGTTCTAGAAGGTTCTTAAGGATTTTTAAAGATTCTTAGAAAGTTCTAAAAGATTTTCAAAATATTTTAGTAGATTCTAAAAAGTTCTTAGAGAATTAAGGAAGTTATTTGAGAAGCTATTTAAGGTTGCATCGTCTTTAAGCAATATAAAAACTTCTTAAGAAGCTTCCTAATACCTTATGTATATTAGAGTTAAAGCTAAAGAGATCCTCACTCTTAATAATACATCTTTTGGAGCTTTAGCTCACCTCTCTTGGTATTGATCTTACACTTGTTGGATTTAATCAAGTTCTTGCTAGCTTTTTTATTGAAAAATCTTTTGTTCAACTTCTTATTTGGTCTCCTATATAATATATCTATAACACCACGAATATAAAGAACATTTTTGATTTTCTTTATTTCTCTACATAAGTTTTTAAGAGATATATTTTTTTATCTAAATATAAGAAGAATTTGTCTATAATAGTTTTAATATTAGAAAAATTTGATTCTTTTATTTTTTATAGTAATTATTTATTTTTAATTACATATAAACTTGCTTTCAAGTATAAGAAGCATTTGCTATCAAAGTCAAATGCATTAAAACATGCATTTACAATAACTTTAGTTGAAGAATCCATTCAATAGTCTTCTTCACTATCATCTTCAACTAGAATAGTAAGATTGTTTTCCTTCAATCTTAATAGTTGTAATTGTAGTTGTTTAATTTGATTCTTTAAAATCTTGACATTACATTCTTATGCAAAATGACTTAGTTTGCTATATTTGTAGTAAATAATATATTATTTTGATCCTTGTTCTAAGTTAATTTCATTATTGTTCCTTGCAAATGGATGATCATTGTATCTTCTTTCTTGGTAATGACTTTCAAAAGAGTGTCTTCTAAAATGTTAATGAAGATTTTTTCTTTTAGATCCAAAGTCACAAAAATATCTTTTTATATATAATACCTCTTCTTTGTTATATTTGGTTTTTTTAAATTGGTAAGATCTTTCTTTGTGTAATAATAATCTTTCTAATTTAGAAAAGGTAAGTAATGTAAGTATTTTTTTTAAAATTTATTCAAAGATAGACCAATTCTTTGGTAAACCATTTAGAATTAAAGCAACAATGTCTTTATCACATATGGCAAGCTCTTTATTTGCATTTTGTACATCATACAACATTTCTAATCATTTCAAAATAGATTGAGATTCAAGAATATCAATAACATGAGAAATAATAGAGTCTTGTACTATAGAGGTAATAACATGGCAAGCTCTAATACTATCTTAAATAGTGAAAACTACTATATTTGTGTTGGTCTGATTTTATTTTGTTGTGGTGGAGTTTGAAGGTGCAATTGTACCATTAAATGAAATTATGGATTCTTCAATGTTGATTGAAATGGATGTAGATGTTTCAATCAACTTCCACAAATATTCTTACATCAAAATTATTTGAATTCTATAATTCCATAACATGTAGTTAAATGCTTCATTTAATGTCATTGAATCATTGATGTCTCTCCCAAGTGGGTCCAAAATTCTTTACTTTAGATAGTGTACACAAAGACAACACTTGAAGAACTTTGCCTATTCAAAAAGTAAGCAATTCTACAATATTTCTTCATAAGCCTAGCTCTGATAGCAATTTGTGTACACTTGGCACTAGATAAGTTCTAATTGATCTGAAATAAAGTGTACATGTACCTAAAATAGATTTAATATGGAGGATATGGAAACTGGATATGTTCTTCCATCTGACAAGGATGAAATCCTAATGACAAGATGAAACCCTAACTAATAGATGGATGATGGCGTGGCCAACAAACCCTAATCTTATATGGATGAATAACGTTGGTATTCAAACTGGTAACGAAAAGGTTGAGAAGGCTAACTCAGTCATTTATCTTCGTTGGCAACGGCCAAACCATTCGTGACTCGCCATGTCACCATTAATCGATGCGGCGAATTAGCGAATGCAGCCAAGTTGGCTGTCGGCGTACTTCTCGATTCCACCAGGAGGATCCGCAATCGTTTCATGCTGAAATTGTGTTTTATTTGATGCAGTTGCTATTTCCCGCACTGAAACATTGGCAGTCCTGCGGCATCGTTTCCAACCAGCGCGTCTTCGACACCCCACTGCTCAAGCTTTGCTAGATACTTCGGCTGATGCGGGGAAGGTTGAGCTCCGCACGTCATGACCTCGCGATAAGATCGACTTGACGTTCTAGTAAGGGAATCAGGTTTTAGGGTTTTGCTGGAGTGTTGGGATTCTCCATCGACTGGATCGAGATCCTCGTTTCAAGTGCTGGAAAAGTTCTTGGTGCAATTAGAGAATGAGCTGTTTTGATAACTGGTTGTTGCACATTCGACCCGTGTGTTCAAGCTTTGCACACCTGTGGTGCTTGAGAATCTGTCCCGACCTCGGAAAAATCATTACCTTCAAACAGTTGATTTATGATGATGGTTCTGTTCAGAAAAAATAAATTGTGCATTCGTACTGCTTCTCATTCTCGTCTCTTCGAATGGAAACTACTGCACTGACTGACGAATGAATCTGAGATTGTAGGATAATTTACACGTAGGTGTTATGATACATTTTGATCGCAAAATGTTTTGTGTCGGAATCCCGAGCAAACAATTGCAGTCTAGCGTGTTTCCGGACACGAATCCATCGCGCGCTTCGTATTAATCAGTGCATGGTTTGTCTACACTAAAGCAAGCGGCGATGCGAGAAGGATGGCTTAGTCACAACTGCAACCTCCTCCACAACCTCCGCCTCCGCATCCACCCCCGTCCCCTCCATAGTCACCCCCTACGTCTCCACCTCCATCCCCGTCACCTGTTGAAAATACATCACCATAAAACAATTTTCTTCGACTTCCGATGAACCTGCACAAGTTTCATAACTGCATGCATCCGAGCCCCAATAACGAAATCATGACAGCGGATTGATGTTGAAGAGGTGAATCTTAAGAAGAATTTATGAGATCTCAACTAAACCAGAGTACGAATGCTAAGTTCAGTGACACTCACCGCCTCTACTACGGCTAGATGAACAGTGGTTGCTTCTTCCATCGTTTCCATAGCCATCGGTGTCTCCATAATCTCCACCTTTAAAACCATAGGTTCTTCTGTAATCATATTCAGCTCCATCTCCACCTCCCACGCCAGGTGCATGGATTACACCACCATTCCTTACTCTACCATTTCCACCTGTGCCACGCATGTTCCCCTGTCCGGCATCCGCCACTGGACGAGAACTGTTAAGCCGTTTCTTCTTCCCGTGGCTCGCGCAAATCCCCGTCAATGTAAGAATGGAAGCCGCTTCGAACACTATAATGGCAACTGCAGCTCCAAAGAGAATGAACATCGTTGCAATACGAGAAGGAAACTCCAAAATCGGTCGCAGTACGGACACTACTAGATGGGCAACCCAAAAAGAACTCTCTCTAACAGAAAGTGGTCGCGGCTGTCTCACAGTGACGCAATAATCACGCCTTGTTTGTTTCTTCGGCAATACAGGTCCTTCACGAGAATATCAGCTAAAAGGGCCTTGGTTTGAGACAAATCTGACTAAATTAGTGTGACGAAAATGACGCCGGGAAAGAATAGCAATTGAAAAAAAGAAAGTAAGAGACAGGATTGCGATCGGACTGCCCGCGAGAAGTAGAGCCTCACAATGAGACAAATTGTTAAGAAAGTAGTGCACTTGGAAGCATGCATATGCAAGGACAGCGCGTGCAAAGATCCCATATATGAACGTATCCCAGAACAAAAGAGGGGAAGAAGAAGAAGAAGAAGAAGAAGATGTATTCACCGAATTAAACCAAGTGGGATCAAAATGAGATCCTGTTCTTCCTCACGTGCCGATGTAAAATGCAGTCAATGGGAAGACGAGAAGTAGGATGGGTTGATTGAAAACCAGGATGAGTACAGCCACTGGGATAAAGAAGTCACAGTAGCCAGGAATAGTGAAAAACGCGTAAACAGGAACCAACAGTCGCCCCTCTGATCCGATGAGTAGTCGACGCTACATCGCGGTAAGTGCCACAGCGCTAACGTCACTCTTCCGAAAGCCTCGGCAACTTGCGATCCCTCTCGCCGATGTACAAGTAACTCGTGCGTACAGTAATCCCGTTGACAACGACAATCAGCTGTAATTAGCAACGGCATTTGTGCCTCAGATTGGAATGCACCAGTGACGGAATCCGTGAAACGAATTTACTACAACACTGGATGAGAATCTGCATAACCCACATGACTCGAAAATGATACGGTTTCGCCAATCTCACACGTCGCGACACATCGACGTTTCTACCTGCGCCATATTTCTGCGATCGGAGTTCTCATCGAACTCAGTCGGCTCCGAACTCCTACTTTGAACGCTCTCAAAAAACGAGGTAAAACGACGAAGAAGGAGGCGGCCATCGGGGGTCATCGTTTTCGGCCCATTCAGAAATAGCCACGTAAGATTTTGGTTATTTCAGCCACGTCGGCGTAATACCCTGCTTAGCGATGACTGGGATTAAAAAATAGGTGTGGCATATATATCAAAAGTTGATCCTTCTTTTATAGCATGCATAAAAACTCTTGCATCTACCAATAAAGATTTAGATATAGTGGAATTATGGATTTTTATTTAGCTAATAAAATCTTGGGCTAAACTATAGAAAAAAATAAAGTTATAAGAAATCCAATCTATTGAAGGATTATAGTTTTTTTAGCCATGATAATCCTAAAATAATTGGATTAAAAGGAGATTTAATCACATTAAATATTACTAAGCTATTATGACTATTAGTTGCTACATCTAATGGAACAATTTTATGGATGACATCTCTAAAAGACAACAAACAATCACCTATTACTTTTATATGCACAATTTTGGTTTTTTTGAATAAATGTATTTCTTGTTTTTTGACAAAATCTTTGTCTATAAAACAAGCTAAGGCTCTTGAATCTAATAAGGCTAAGACTTTGTGATTTTTTGATCTTAAAAATATTTCTATGACAAAACAAGGTGAAGGATCTAAGGAGGGGATATGACCTTTACAAGATTTCAATTGTCCAATTCTTATTATAATTGAAAAAATTGGTTTTTTGATACATAATTCTCTTTGGCAACCATGCTCCTCATTTTGTGGTTGTGTTGCTTTTTTGGACAATGTTGAGCAATGTACTTAGGTTCTCCATAATATAGGCACAACCTTTTTTGATAGCATAGAGTCTTTTTATGGTCTGTAAGAGGTTTGAAACATACAATGTTAATTTGCATAGATTTTGATCTTAATGATTAAACTTTTGTGAATTTAGAAGTTGTCACCATGACTTGACTTATACCCCTTCAATAAAATCTTTGTTTTTAGAATCTTTCAAAGAATTGATTTTTGCATGCAATGACTGTTACGGACATACTCATATAAGCTAGTAATTACATATACAAATAGGTGGAAGTAAGTAAAAGTAGTTAAAAGTAAGTTAATTCTATAGTATTTAATATGGAAGCTTCCTAAAAGCTTTATAGATGCTGCTTTGACTTCATAGGTGTCTTTAATTGACTTTTTGGATAAGAAACGTGGTCAACAAGTTGGCCATGTACCACACATGTTGTTAGCTTGAAGATCAAGCTAACTATGTGGCCCACATGTAGAAAAACTTGCTTTATAAGTCAAGGCATGTGTCCTACAAAGTCAACACATATTGGAGGTCCTATAGAACGTCGCCACGTAGCTCCTAGTTAGATAGTATATATAGAGAGAAGAGTGAAGCCCTCTTCACTCTTGTCAACTCTTTTCTTGCTTTCAGTCTAGTTTCAAGGATTTATAGTTTTCTTGTCTTTTGGCAATAGCCATTCTAGTTTCTCTTTCAATATACATACTTATTTATTTATATTTTGTTATCTTTCTTTAAGTGAAGGCTCACTTGTCTGAATTGCTTTTTCATCGAGTTCTTGTCCTTGACAGATTGACAAGAGTACACCTACAATATCGGAGCTTTGACTAATCTTGATTACGAGTAGATTATCCCTTTTTCTTGATAAGATATAAGCATATTAGAAGTTGCGGATTACCCTCTTCTAAACTGATATTATCCTTAGTATTTTTTTTGTTCCAAAGTCCTCTCTTCTATTTGTCTTGAGCGATATTAGACATCTTCTCTTTTCTAAGTGTTATCATGGCAGAACTTGTTGAAATGAAGAGTGCAATGGCACAAATGCAAGAGCTATTGAAGGAGTTAATGCTTGCGATGCATCAACTCAATTTACCACCACAAGAAACAATAAGATTGACAGGAAGTGAAGATATAGAAATGGTTGGAGCTGCTTCAACATCTGCACCAAACCATGTCCTTTCTCCTATGGTAGAACGCCCTTCAAATGTTAGAGAACCAAGAATTATCCTATCCGAGAAGTTTGATGGCACCAGATCCAAGTTTCAAGGATTTATCAATCAAGTGCAACTTGTGATTGAACTTCAACCCCAAAGCTATCCAATTTCAGGATCGCAAGTTAGATTCATTGGTACGCTTCTTTTTGGTTTAGCACTATCATGGTTTTTATCTTTTTTTGAATGACAAGATCCAATATTGGATAATCTAGAGGCTTTTCTGGCAGAGTTTTGATCCATGTATGGAGAACATGATGCAATTCGTATTGCAACCAATAAGATCTGTATTTTACGACAAGGTAATCGATCACTAACGTTGTATGCTTCACAATGTTGACAACTTGTAACTGATATCAAGTGGAATGATGCTACATTTATTAGCCAATTTCTCTATGGATTACAATATGAGGTAAAAAAATTAATGCTCAACTTACGTGATCCTCAAACATTGAATCAAGCAATTGACTTTGCTGTAAAGTCCGACAATCACCTTTTTAAACTCTGATCTGAGAACTGACATCAACGTTATTATAATTCAATGGCAATATCAACACCTCTTCAACACATACATTCAAAAGTAGAGGATATGTAAATTGATGTAGTACATTTCAAACCTCTTACTAAGCAAGAAAAGACTCGTCGTCGTCAAGAAAGATTATGTTTATATTGTGGAGAACCAAAGCACACTGCTCAATATTATCCAAAGAAACGACATAATCACAAAATGAAGAGTATGGCTGTGAAAGAAGATGATATCTCAGAAAACAAGTTTGTCCAGCTACAATAGGGACCGTGTGGCTGGAACCTTACACAACATCTAGTAAAGGTCCTATTCTCTCCTCAAAGCCCTCTCCTTGTTTTACATTAAATATTATTCTATGACCTAAACATTACAAAATCTCTGCCTTGTTAGATTTAAGAGTCTCATCATGTTTTTTAGATGAAGAATTTACTAAAAGACATAGCATATCTTTAGTAAAGAAAACTAAACCTATTCATGTAGAAGTCATAGATGGTCGTCCATTGTCTTCTGGGGATATTATTCACAAAATCCTTCCTATAGAAGTAATAATCAATGGTCATAATAGCTTTGTAGTATTTAATATCATTAGATCTCTCTCTAATCTAATCATTTTAGGTTTATCGTGGTTAGAAAAATACAACCCTCAAATAGATTAGATTTCCCGAACTCTTATTTTCTCTAAAAGAATAACTAAAAGTGTAGTTAATCAAGTAGAGAGTCATAAGTCCAATTCAATTAAACTTGTATTTATAGGTGCAAAAGCTTTCTTGCATGCTACTATGAAAGAATCACCATATATTATTTATGCGACACCTGTTTCTACTAGTGGAAAGACTTCAAGTGGCATGTTCATCGTGTTTTACAAAAATTAAGAGATATAGGACTCTATACCAAGATAAAAAAGTGTATATTCCATACTATTCAAGTCGATTTCTTAGGTTACATCATTTCAAATGATAGACTAATGATGGATCCTAAGAAAATTTAAACTATTATAGATTGGAACATCCCAAAAATGGTAAGAGATGTCTAATGTTTGTTGGGATTTGCCAACTACTATCAAATCTTCATGAAGGACTTCTTTTGAGTTGCAGCTCCACTTACACGTTTGACTTGTAATGACAAACTCCAATAAAATCAAGAAGCGAAAGTTGCTTTTGAATCTTTGAAGATAGCATTTATTTTTGCACCAATCTTATATCGTGTTGATTTTTCCAAAGCATTCTTTATGGAAACAGATGCATCAGACTTTGCTCAAGGTGCGGTTCTATCACAAATGGGAACAGATGACAAACTTCATCGAATAGCCTTTCATTCAAGAAAATTCTCAGCAGCAGAAATCAATTATGAGATCCACGACAAAGAACTTCTTGCAATCGTAGATTCTTTTCAAGAAAGGCATCATTATCTAGAAGGCGCTTTCAGTCGAGTCACCGTATATACAAATCACAAGAACCTCGAGTATTTTATGTCTGCACGCGTATGAAATTGTCGTCAAGCTCGTTGGAGCATGTCTTTATCAAGATTCGAGTTCATCATCACTTATCGGCCACAAAAACAACAAGGTTTGTTCGATGCCTTGTCTAGACGTTCTTTTCTTGCATCAAAAGAAGGAGATGTAGCTTTTAAGCAACAAAAAACGGTTTTCTTGAAGCCGGAGTAATTTCATCTTCGAGCAATAAAATCAACATTGACTGTTGATTTAACTTTTTTTAAGCAAGTCCAGTTAAGTATGTCTTCAGACCCTCTTGTTCATGATATTAAAAACAATTCTTCTAAATCTCATGATCCCTCTAAATTTGAATTCAAGAACAACCTCCTGTATTTTGAAGGATGCCTATATGTTCCAGAAGGAGAAGCACGTTTACGTATTCTTCGAGCTTATCACGACTTTCGAGCAGCAGAATATATTGGATATAATAAGACTTTGGAGCTGATATCTAAAGATTTTTGGTGGCCTCAAATGTGGAAGGCAGTCAAAGATTTTGTACAATCATGTGAAGTTTGCTCAAGA